CAAAAATTTTTATAATAAAAATTTTTTAAAATTTGGCCATCTTTGGTCACGTGATGTTGGTTCTAGGCTACATGCACTATATGTAGATTGAGCTTTCTTAATGCAGAATAAGACTTACCTAGAAACCCGTTTACTCTAGGAATACTATTGTCTTTTGCGTATACTATTTTCACATTTTTTCTACTAATGTAATTTGCATTAGCGCCCATATCAACCCCAAATTGAATATCTGTAAGAATTATTCTTTTAGACCATTCAAGATTCACATCTCTTTCCTATATATGATTTACACTATAAAAATTTTTTAGATCCTGGTTTGAAAGATCCTTTATAATAAATGGTATTAATTCTGGCAGAAGTTGGTCTAGTAAATTAACTCTATATAGTTAGAAGATATTTTAATCAGAAAAAATTCTTTAGAACAATGTAATACTGATGATCTCTGCTCTGGACTAGCATTTATTAGGTGAGATTTTAACAATTGTGCCTGGTCTTCCAGACTTCCTCCTTCTAAATTTCTTTATAGAATAATGCGACAATAGTTCATTTACATAGTCCTCCAAGAAACCGTCCATTTGTTTATTTAATGAAGATATTAACTTATTATATATTTTTCTAAACTTTGCAGATTTAGAATCCATATTTACCTGATTCCTCTGTGGTACCTTCTTTTTAGGATAGTAGCATTTAACCATTTCAGAATCTTCAGATAAACTAGAGTCAGATAAACTAGAGTCAGATCTATTTAGAGGCTCACAAAGTAAATCTCTCTTCTTATATTTTCTAATAATTAGTGATGAAACCATTTCTTGTATTAAGTCGACTAAAGTTTCTTTATCTACACATTCGTCTAAATCTTCTATTTCAGCTTTTAATAAATTGACCCTCCTTTTAAGCTTTTCATATTTGGAATAATAATCTTCCAATTTTTTTTCGAGCTCCCAAATCTGTCCAAAAAGCGCTTTATATACTTCTATATTCTGCTCGTCTAATCCAAATAACTTAGCAATTTTTTCTATATATCTGGTATCTTTTGGCTCGTTAAGTATACCATCTGATGAATACTTTTGATCAGATCATTTTCATGATATTTTATAGTATGATATATCTTAGACGAATGAAAAAATAAATTTAATAAATGACATCTAACCCACCCTCTGAGAAAATTTATTTTGAGAAGGTATTAGTTTTTATCGAAGAGCTTGAATGCCTTTGCCTGATCATAATATTCTTCTCTTTTTTGATAATTGACTATCGTATAGTTTTGTGCAGAAGAGACATAGTTGTCAGGATTGTGGCGAAGTGCTTGACTGGCAATTGTCATAGCATTTGATAAATTCTTTGCACTATGTGATATAATAGCAAACATGGCCTTTAATTTGCGTAAGTATTGAGAAAGCAGTGGTACATTATATTTTTTCAGAAATCGATTAAACCACTTAGCTCTGGGTCTTCCTGAATCTCTTAACTTCTCAGAAGAAATCACATTCTTAATCCAAGTAAGTAGTTGTCTAGCCCATTCTTCATCCTTTTCTAATGATCTAAATACTCGTGGAATATCTTCTTGGCCTCGGTTTTTCATGTAGCCAATTACTTTATCATTAGCTATGCATAATATTCTAAGTTCAGCAGGGTGTGCACAAAGTATTATCATAATATCAGCTAGGGCTAGTTCATCGGGTTTACTAGATACATCAGCCATAAGGTGTTTTGCATAGTCATCTAATCTCTCTCTAACCGATTTTAATAAAAATTTATTTGGATAATCAATACCTTCATTTTTACATTGTTCGCGATGCTCTATTTGTATTTTATTAGATGTGCAAGTCGTCTCTTGATCCAATGTAGTAGAGATTATTTTTTCTGAAGCATTGAGCTTTCGCAATTCTCTTCAAAGCCTAGATATACGTGATGAACCAGCATAGTATTGGGCGCTGTTTCAACTAAGGCCTTGATTATCCCTTAGATTGTAGTAGAATACAGGCAAATTTGCCTGCGTTTTTACACTTTTTTAGCTCTGATTTACTT